CATTTCAAATCTTTTGTCGACAACAAATCTTCCCATTGTCGGCAGGATTTGAACCTGTGCGGGTAGCCCCCAATGGACTTCAAATCCATCGCCTTAACCACTCGGCCACGACAACACATTTTCCTTCATAATGTATCACTTGGATCCTGTTTAGCATTCTGTAATAAGTAACGAATGAAACAAGGCTTAGGTCCATTGGAGTGTATGGAAAAATTGGCTTTCTGAATAAAACATGGTTTCGATTCTTTTGTCAAAGACGTAAACATCCCGTGGCACCCTGTAGGTTGTTGAAAAAAGAAGACTCGAAGGATTCGAATCTGCGCTGGGAGTTATTGAAAAAAGAAGACATCACTTACCGTTGTCGGCAGGATTCGGACCTGCGCGGGGAGACCTGGATTTCTAGTCCATCCCCTTAACCACTCGGCCACAACAACAAATTATTTCTAAACAAGGCTTAGGTCCTTGTTCACGTGACACCTTTTAGGTTGTTGAAAAAAGAAAACTCGAAGGATTCGAACCTGTGCGGGGAGTCCGAAAAGGATTTAAAATTTTTCATCCTATCCATTCATCCACAACAGTTTATCACTTGGAGGCTGTTTAGTGTGCGGGGAGACCCCAATGGATTTCTAGTCCGTCGCCTTAACCACTCGGCCACGACAACACATTTTCCTTCATAATGTATCACGTGGATGCTGTTTAGCTTCCTGTAATATGTAACGAATGAAACAAGGCTTAGGTCCATTGGAGTCTATGGAAAAAAGGGGCTTTCTGAATAAAACATCATTTCGATTCTTTTGTCAAAGACGTAAACATCCGTGGCACCCTGTAGATGATGAAAAAAGAAGACTCGAAGGATTCGAATCTGCGCTGGGAGTTGTTGAAAAAAGAAGACATCACTTCCCGTTGTCGGCAGGATTCGGACCTGCGCGGGGAGACCCCAATGGATTTCTAGTCCATCGCCTTAACCACTCGGCCACAACAACAAATTATTTCTAAACAAGGCTTAGGTCCTTGTTCATGTGACACCTTTTAGGTTGTTGAAAAAAGAAAACTCGAAGGATTCGAACCTGTGCGGGGAGTCCGAAAAGGATTTAAAATTTTTCATCCTATCCACTCATCCACAACAGTTTATCACTTGGAGGCTGTTTAGTGTGCGGGGAGACCCCATTGGATTTCTAGTCCGTCGCCTTAACCACTCGGCCACGACAACACAATTTCCTTCATAATGTATCACCTGGATGCTGTTTAGCTTTCTGTAATATGTAACGAATGAAACAAGGCTTAGGTCCATTGGAGTCTATGGAAAAAAGGGGCTTTCTGAATAAAACATCATTTCGATTCTTTTGTCAAAGACGATAACATCCTGTGGCACCCTGTAGATGGTGAAAAAAGAAGACTCGAAGGATTCGAATCTGCGCTGGGAGTTGTTGAAAAAAGAAGACATCACTTCCCGTTGTCAGCAGGATTCGGACCTGCGCGGGGAGACCCCAATGGATTTCTAGTCCATCGCCTTAACCACTCGGCCACAACAACAAATCATTTCTAAACAAGGCTTAGGTCCTTGTTCACGTGACACCTTTTAGGTTGTTGAAAAAAGAAGACTCGAAGGATTCGAATCTGCGCTGAGAGTTGTTGAAAAAAGAAGACATCACTTCCCGTTGTCGGCAGGATTCAAACTTGCACGGGGAGACCCCAATGGATTTCTAGTCCATCGCCTTAACCACTCGGCCACGACAACACATTTTCCTTCATAATGTATCACGTGGATGCTGTTTAGCTTTCTGTAATATGTAACGAATGAAACAAGGCTTAGGTCCATTGGAGTGTATGGAAAAAAGGGGCTTTCTGAATAAAACATCATTTTGATTCTTTTGTCAAAGACGTAAACAACCCGTGGCACCCTGTAGGTTGTTGAAAAAAGAAGACTCGAAGGATTCGAATCTGCGCTGGGAATTGTTGAAAAAAGAAGACATCACTTCCCGTTGTCAGCAGGATTCGAACCTGCGCGGGGAGACCCCAATGGATTTCTAGTCCATCGCCTTAACCACTCGGCCACGACAACACATTTTCCTTCATAATGTATCACTTGGATCCTGTTTAGCATTCTGTAATAAGTAACAAATGAAACAAGGCTTAGGTCCATTGGAGTGTATGGAAAAAAGGGGCTTTCTGAATAAAACATCATTTCAAATCTTTTGTCGACGACAAATCTTCCCGTTGTGGCCAGAATTTAAACCTGCGCGGGGAGTCCCCAATGGATTTAGAATCCATCGCCTTAACCACTCGGCCACGACAACACATTATTTCTAAACAAGGCATAGGTCCTTTGGAGCATGTGGAAAAAAAGGGGCATTCTGAAAAAAACATCATTTTGAGGCTTTTGTCGAAGACGTTAACATCCCGTGACACCCTGTAGGTTTTTGAAAAAAGAAAACTCGAAGGATTCGAACCGGCACGGGGAGTCCGATAAGGATTTAATTTTATCATCCTATCCACTCATCCACAACAGTTTATCACTTGGAGGCTGTTTAGTGTTCTGTACCAAGTAACAAATGAAACAAGGCTTAGGTCCTTTGAAGCGTGTGGAAAAAAGGGGCGTTCTGAATAAAACAGTTTCGAGGCTTTTGTCGAAGACGTAAACGTCCCATGACACCCTAAAGGGTGTAGACAAAAGGCAACAAATCTTCCCGTTGTCGGCAGGATTCGAACCTGCGCAGGGAGTCCCCAATGGATTTCAATTTTATCATCCTATCCACTCATCCACAACAACACATAATTTGTAAACAGTTTATCCCTTTATCACTTAGGCTTTTTAGTGTTCTGTACTAAGTAACAAATGAAACAAGGCTTAGGTCCTTTTGGAGCGTGTGGAAAAAAGGGGCGTTCTGAAAAAAACATCATTTCGAGGATTTTGTCAAAGACGTAAACGTCCTGTGAAAACCTATGGAGTGTTGTAAAAAGACGACAACACTTCCCATTTTCAGCAAGATTGGAACCTGCGTGGGTAAACCCCAATGGATTTTGAATCCGTCGTGTCGAGAATTTTGTCAAAGACGTGAACCCTAAAGGGTGTTAAGAAAGACAACAAAGCTTCCTATTGTTGGCAGGATTCAAATCTGTGCAGGGAGACCACAATGGTTTTCTGGTCCGTCGCCTTAACCACTGTGCCACAACATCACATTATTTTTAAAACAACGTATCAGTTGAATGCTGTTTAGTATTCTGTACTAAGTAACAAATGAAACTCGTGAAATGGTTCTTTCTGTATTGCCACATTACGTATATAGCATTTATTTGTTGTATTGAATGCTTCTGTAGCCGTGATGTGATAGTATTTGTACTAAAAGTGGTAAAAGTTGCCCCAGACAGATATTAACGGGCAACCATACGTTCCCATATTCTGAGCCCAATCTTGTTTCAACATTTGTAGTCTCTCCACAAACGAAATAGTACCTGAATGGCTAGGTATGAATCCATGTCCCATCCAACTAAAAACAAACTCAAAATTTCTCTTGAAAAAAGTTATTTTACATCTAAGAGACTTTTTCAGAAAAATAAATTTTAAAGATTAAAAAAAACTTGCTCATGTTTAAGAATAAATGCTCATAATGGATCTGCACATCTTGTACCTAAAAAAACCATTTATACTTAGTGTAAAGTTCAGGAAGAAATTGAGTACTTTCTAGCAATGACCTCAATGGTGTCAAAAAGATTAAGCCATTACTGAAACCTATCACATGAACAGATTCCAAATTTTAAAATGGTTTTTAATAATACAGGGCAAACCTGACCAGTTGATAGTAACTTTCTAAACGTGTAGTCATTTTTTTTTTATTTTACTAATAAAAATAAAGACATATAAAGTAATTCCGATAGCACTGGCTTTAGAAAAGTAAAAAAAAAAAAAAAACGATACAATAATACTTTGAAAATAACCAACATTACAATAATGGCATGTAAAAAATCTATAAATTGTGAAACAAGCAAACAACAACAGTAACATTAACAGTATGAGAAGACTTCTGCCTAATATTCAGTGGTTCTGTTGCTCTCCTTCAAATTTTCTGTGAGCTGTCACTCTTGAAACGAACTGGAAATATGGAAATATATAATGCAGCAAGGTGTGTGAAACAGCCAATGAGAAGCGTCACTTAAACACAGGTTTGAGGATAGCAGGCAGTGTCTCGTTCGTCTTTTGTTTGCATCGTTTGAAAAGCACTTCCTTCTTGTTTTTCTGAGCTGCACATCTGTAAGAACATATGATGGTTAGAGAGATCTCCCCAATATTTCCATCCTGTTGGATATAAATGTGGTTTGCTTAAAAGTGTGTACTCACATCTTGTTTAATATCCACATTGAGAGACCAAAAAGGATGACTCCAGCAATGGTGATTAGTAGCAGAACCAACTTATAAGAGTCCCACATGACCCTGGTTTCTGTTTCCTTTTCTTCTGAAGGTGAAATTGGGAAAGTGATTTATCACAAGAGGTCAGTGACTATATTTATATTGACCTATTCTGATTTAAGCAGCATTTTATTCCGTTCATAAATCCTTTTTTAAGCTTAAAAGTAAACATCACATAGTTTCTTGACTACTTTAATGATGTTTCTTGATGTTTTAATGGGGCAAAGTAAGAAGGAATGAAGTTAAAATAGATATTGGATGAACTTCAATGTTCTTACAAGTTTATTTGACTGTTCAATGTAATGTCACGAGAACACAATCGGAAATGGATTTCTAGTCCATAGCCTTAACAAATGAAACAAGGCTTAGGTCCTTTGGAGCGTGTGGAAAAAAGGGGTGTTCTGAATAAAACATCGTTTTGAGGCTTTTCTCGAAGACGTAAACGTCCCATGACGACAAAACTAACCATTGTTGGCAGGATTTGTACCTGCGTGTTGAGACCCCAATAGATTTCTAGTCCATCTCCTTAACCACATAGCCTCAACAAGATATTATATTTTAACAACGCATCACTTGGATACTGTTTAGTGTTCTGTAATAAGTAACAAATGAAACGAGGAAAAAAGAAAACTCGAAGGATTCGAACCTGCGCAGGGAGTCCCCAATGGATTTCAATTCTATCATCCTATCCACTCATACACAACTAAACATAATTTGTAAACACTTAATCACTTGGAGGCTTTTTAGTGTTCTGTACCAAGTAACAAATGAAACGAGGCTTAGGTCCTTTGGAGCGTGTGGGAAAAAATGGGTGTTCTGAATAAAACATAGTTTCGAGGCTTTTGTTGAAGACGTTAACGTCCTGTGACACCCTATGGGGTGTTGAAAAAAGACGAAAAAATCTTCCCGTTGTCGGCAGGATTTGAACCTGCGCAGGGAAACCCCAATGGATTTCGAATCCATCGCCTTAACCACTCGGTCACAACAACACATTATTTCTAAACCAGGCTTAGGTCCTTTGGAGCGTGTGGAAAAAAAGGGCCGTTCTGAATAAAACATCGTTTTAAGGCTTGCCTGCATGGGGAGATCCCAATGGATTTCTAGTCCATCGCCTTAACCACTCGGCCACAAGAACACATTTTCCTTCATTATGTATCACTGGGATGCTGTTTAGCGTTCTGTAATAAGTAACAAATGAAACAAGGCTTAGGTCCATTGGAGTGTGTGGAAAAAAGGGGCGTTCTAAATAAAAACATTGTTTCGAGGCTTTTGTCGAAGAAGTAAACATCCCGTTTCACCCTATAGGGTGTTGAAAAAACACTTCCTGTTTGTCAGCAGGATTCGAACCTGCGCAGGGAGACCTCAATTGATATCTAGTCCATCACCTTTACCACCCAGCCACATCAACACATTTTTCTAAACAATGTATCACTTGGATGCTATTTAGTATTCTGTACTAAGTAACAAATGAAACACGGCTTAGGTTCTTTGGAGCGTGTGGGAAAAAAGGGGCGCTCGGAATAAAACATCGTTTCGAGGCTTTTGTCGCACCGAGCATTAGTTGGTAAAAGGTAATCTAAAGTTTTTAAACACAAGCTCAGATTATTATTGTATATTCCTTCTAAAGGCTCAAAGTGACCTATTCCATTTCACAAATGCTAATATTAAACATTAGAACAAAAAGATCATACTTGTGCACGCCGCTGGGCTCCACTCACTCCAGAGTCCTCGGTCGGCACAGTAGACGTTCATCTTTGATCTGATGTGGAAACATGTTTTTATTCTCTTGTCTTCTTCCAGCATTTCGCATGAAGTGTCCAGTCCTATGTTCTCCAGAACCTTCCTTTTCTGCATGAAAGCAGCCACCAATACAGTAAGGGGTATTATTCTCCCATAGATCTTTGTGTGGGCTGCTTACAGGTGAATTGTTAAAAAGCACTAGCTCCTTAAGGCTTTTAAATGTTTTCCAGCATCCAAAGCATGTGAAAAACACTACCCAGATGCCATACTACCTCCTGGAAGAATGTAAAGTGTAGGTCTATACTTTGTGATCCAGTGATGCAACATAAGAGAAAATCAGAATGGGATGTATATAATGAATTCAAGTTCACATTAAACGGACAATCCAGTCCAACTGGATACATATGGCCCCTTTTTAAACAATATACACCCTACTTACCGGTATTTAACATTACTTAGAGTAATTTCAATTAAAATTTACAGTATTGTGCAAAAGTTTTAGGCAGGTGTGAAAAAAATGCTGTAAAAAAACAGTGCTTTCCGAAAATATATTTGGTAAGACCACCTTAAAAAAAAACAGCAGCATTTTGTCTAGTTTCTTTTGCAAACTGGAGGATGTTCCAAACATATTGGAAAACTAACTATAGAACTTCTGTTAATGTAGGTGTTTTCACATCCTTCATGTAATCTCACCACACACATACTGAGATCAGGGCCACACCATCACTTCCATTACTTCTTGTTCTTTGAGTTTGACTGTGTTTGGACTCATTGTCCTGCTGCATAAGAAACACCTCTCTGATGGTAGTGTATGATAGTTAAGTATCTGCCTGTATTTCCCAGCATTGAGAACACTGTTAGATCTGACCAGATCTCCAACTCCATCTGTAAACATGAGATTCCCTGTTCCCTGAGGACATCGATTTTACTGCCCTCCAACATTCATGGATCTGTCTTCTGCTGCAGCCAAATGATTCACATTTTGACTCATCCGTTCATAGAAACTGCTGTCAATTTTCTGCACCCAGTTCCTATTTTTTTAAGCATAAATGAGGGACTTTGTCTTGCTCCTACATTGGAGGTATGGCTTTCTTTTTACATTTCTTCCACACTGATCACTTCTGACCAGACATCTCCAGACAGTAATTGGGTGTACCTGAGTCTCATTGTCTCGGAGAGACCTTGTGGATGCAGTATAACTACCTTGTGTCTTGTTGTTGTCAAAATCCTGCCAATACAACAAACTGTCTGCTCTACCTCACCCAGTTTTATGCCTCCTACTCAACTCATAACTGTTTCCGCTCATGACTGGGTTTCAACCTACATGTGACATTGACAATCATTAGCACCTCTTTGCTATGATTGGTTGATCATACACCTGATTATAATCCTGCAAAATCACTGAATTTATGCACATGTACCAATAAATATTTATATTGGTTTGAAGGCAACATAATGTTTCATTTTGTAAATGTATTCTTTGTTTACACCATTTTCCCACGCCTGCATGAAACTTTTGCATAGTACTGTACATAGGAGACCATTTTGGATAGAACATGTATAATAACAACAAGGAGCTTCTTTAGTTATTTGTGGTTCAGTGAATAGCAAGCAACAGTGTGCTTATGTTCCAGTATGTTTAGCTTAATCTGGACTTAAAAAGATGTAGTAAAGAAAAAGATTGCAAAAAATTAAATAACTGATCACCAAAAATATACTTAAGTACACACCATCTCTGAGGAAAAGATCAGATTCTGATCTAAAGTGTCTGGTGGCACTTTTCATTCACACTTTCCTTTTTCATGCCATGAAACATCTCCATTAAAGTGAAGCACATGTCAAAAACAAGAGCTCACAAGAATATGACGAGAGCATATGTGAGAAATGTCTATTTAAATTCCTTCAATCAAAACATTACACAATAGTACAGTGCAACAAAAATAATACAGCAAACGAGTTTACCTCACTGTCAGAAAAAGAAGAATGAACAATGTACCTCCAATGGCGGTACAGTAAAACACACAGTATATGGAACAAACTATGTCATTGGTGTGGCGGCACAGGTTTGCATGGGTTTCCTCTGGGTACTCCGGTTTCCCCCACAACCCCCCTGTGCTTGCATGGGTTTCCTCCGGGTACTCCGGTTTCCCCCACAATCCCCACAATAATGTCGTTGGCGGCACAGTGGGGCAGTTGTTAGCACTGTACCCTTCCAGGAGGTTGTCTACCTGGAAGGAGTTTGCATGTTTTCCCTGTGCTTGCATGGGTTTCCCCTGGGTTTCCTCCGGGTTTCCCCCACAATCCCCAAAAACATGCTAGGTTAGGTTAATTGAAAAACATGCAGTTAGGTTAATTGAATAATCTAAATTCCCCTTAGGTGTGTGTGAATGTTGCCCTGTGATGGACTGGCGAACTGTCCAGGGTGTACCCCCGCCTCTCGCCCAATGTGTGCCGGAGATAGGCACCGCCAGACCCCTGCAACCCCGAAAGGGAATAAGTGGAAATGAATGTATGTCGTTGGGGTAGAAAGGGTACCACCCCAGTGAATTTTCCCTTATATTTCAAACCAATATAAATTTTGCAAACCCAAATTTACCATGAGAAGCACTAAAACCATGATAATACATTGAATTTAAGTCAATCTGCACTAAAGAGAAGACACCGTTAAAGAGAAGAGACAGGGTGCAAATACCTTCAGTTCTTTGCCATTTGCCATCAGGGTCCTGCTCTCAACCTCATAATCCAGGCAATGTTCTGGCACCCGACCAGCAGGTGGCACCCAGTCTAACTTTAAAAATCCAGCACCCTCCAAAACTTGCACAGAGGAAACTACGGCAGGTTTAACTGCAATGAAAAAAAAGAAAACTTAGTTCTATTTGTTCAAAGCTGCTGCCCTCTCTGATATGATTCACGACTGGAATGCTGCATTTGGTATAAACGTGTATATTCACCATAGTTTTGGATCTCTATAGAGAAGAAAGCTGTTCTCAAAATCCCTTCTGGAGATGATCCATTGACACACATGTTGAACTGGAAAAACTCTACGAGGGTTTGATGGGGAAACCTGCATCCTTTCCGAACCTCAGATAGTGAAATATATTCTGGACATTCCTTGGTTGCATTCATATCCCTGTGCCTGGAAAAACAGATGCTCCTTGATTCAGTCGTTACACTTTTTGGGCGATCAATGTGATTTATTAAGCTAGATAATAATAGAAAATGTAGCAAATGATTGGCCTCATACTGAATGTTATGTTAAATGTTACAGAAAGAGACTTTAAAACATTTTCTCCTGACCCAGAATTTAGTTGAGCGTGTTCCTCTAGTCAGTAACATCACTTGTTCATTTAGGGTTAGAGCTTATAATCACTCATTCACCCGTTGCACTGCATTCCAAACCTGCACATTTAATTAGGGTGATTTGTTTGAGGGATTGCTGGAATGTCTTTGAATGCATTTGGGAGGGAATTGGATCAAAGTGATTACACAGAAATTATGAATGATTACGCAAAAGCATTTTTTTCCACTCATAAATAGTGGTCGGGTGAAGCCATTTATGGTCAACCAACTGTGTTTACTATTTTTAAATCATGATGATAACAGAAACTATCCAAATGACCCCGATCAAAAGTTTATACATTTGTTTTCTTGTTTCTTGGGGCAGTTATCGATCTAAGATCAAGATCTTAGGTTCTTAATCTTCTGTGTTGATAAAGCAGCCCATTCTTCTTGGCGAAAAGCCTCCAGCTCTCATAAAGCCTTGGGCTGTCTTGCATGAATTCCAGTTTGAGTTGCCAAAGTGGTTTGATTAAATATATTACCTATTACTTATGCACACAACTGATTTTCTGATTGCGCCCGAGGGTCTTCTGTATAAAGTAATCACCAAAGTCATCAGCTGTGATTGAGCAGGTGCATGGGGCAATTTTATGTGATTGTACATAAAGATAGAGTGATCTTACTATAGTTTTTGCTCCTGGCCTGATAAGCGTCTAGATCTGTCTAGACCCAGGTCTTTTGTTCTGTCAGGGTCAGGTGCATGAGGTACAAATACACAAATCATAAGCAGGAGCTTAGGGTTAAGCAAAGATTAATTAACAAAAAACATATCATAAAACTTCCACTAGGGGAGAAAAAGGAACAGTGGAGAATTTACCAGCCAAAACAGGAAGAGGAACAAGAGAGCAGAAGGAGAGATGAAAGTGACAAAATAAAAGGAACACGAGGAACCAGGGTATCTAACATGTACACAGAGTACATGTTGTATTTAGGAATACTGCAATCCAAACATCCATGCTTTACAAAGCAGAGTAGTTGATCTAGGCTTCAAAATTTAATTTAAACTCACTCATGCTCAGAGAAACAGTACTAATGCATCAATGCTTAAATATGATGGGTGCAGGGATTACAGGCGAGAGCTTACCAATAATAAAGTGAGTGCTGTGAGTTTGGAGGTTGTACAGATCCTGATTCCCAAGTGCACTCCATGTACTCTCTTTCATAGTAAATACAGTGAAAATCCCTTATTCTGGATTCAGCCAAACCTGAGACAAAATCACAAGTCAACATCAACACTACAAGACATACACTAATTATAAAATTCTTGAGCTACAAATGAAGAGTTTGGTTCCAAAATCTGGTAAAAGCCACACAGTCACACAGTGACTG